CTATAAGTAACTCCTGAGCATCACTGGGTATGACCCAAAAAGAAAAAAAAATCACCCCAGAGCCAGCAATGTGCAATGTGGTTCCACGCAGAGATCATGCCTCACATGTATGAAGTTTGATCTCTGGTACCACACACACACACACACACACACACATACACACACACATTATCCCAGCCCAACTAATAGCTGATTTAGGAGCTGAGAATACAAATTGGGAAAGACAGGCCCTGACTTTCAGGAATATATACAGGTGCAATGTTTTTTTTTAAAAAAGCAGTATGTCAGGCCAAAGACAGAGAACAGGGGTTAAGGCACTTGTCTTACATGCAGCCAGCCCTGGTTGAATCTCAGGCCATTTCCATCCACCCAGCTTCCAATGTGTCACTGAGGAAATACCTGAGCACGTTCCCAGACCTTGTTTGCTGAGTTTATGGAAGAGATGTGTAATTTCATTGTATCTACCTCTCAACTTTTGGACTCACAAGATTTAAATAAAAATATATACACTAATCCTACCATTTTAAGGATCAAGAAAAAATCCCATATATACAAGGAAAGTAGGTTCTTTCAAATTTGCCTATTTCTTTTGGTTTGTTTTCTTAGGAACCACACCTAGCCTTATACAGGGATCATGTGGTGCCAGGGATTGAACCCAGGACTGTCCCATATGCAGTACAGCCCTTTGCGCCATCTCCTCGGCCCGATTTTCTCTGAATCTTAAATGTACTGCTTCACTAAATGTTCAAGTGGGTATTTCTGAGAAGATCTTGGTTTGGAGTACTTCATCTTTTTTGCTAGTAGAACTGTGTATCTTAGAAAAAGTTTTCCCCTGAGAATGTTTCAAATATATCTTCATTTCCCACGAAACATGCATTGAACACCTGAAAATTAACTTGCCTTCAGTCAAACCTCAGAATTAGAATGATTTTCCGAAATTGTTCTAACAAACATAATGATGTCAAAGCCCGAATTTTAAAATACAGCTTCTGTTCTCCTTCTAGTATCATTATTAAAACAGATTTTTAAAGGTATGGTTCAAAACAAATTGCCATTTTCCATCCTGCTTAAAGATCATAAATCAGAGCAATTTTAAAGCCAAACTAGGACTCTTCCTGAAGTTTTCAGATGCATTACCATCTGTTTTTTATCAGCATTTGAGCAGGTCCAAAATCACTATATTACCAAATGTTATCAAGAATAGTTCATATCCCTTTCAAAAGCACGGTTTTCTTTCAAACTATTTTCATATCACAAACTCTGAAAGAATGTTCATTATTTTTTTTCTTTTTTGATCACACCTGGCAATGCTCAGGGGCTACTCCTGGCTTTGCACTCAGGAATCACATCTGGCGGTGCTCGGGGGACCTTATGGATGCTGGGAATCGAACCCAGGTTGGCCGTGTGCAAGGCAAACGCTCTACCTGCTGTGCTATTGCTCCAGCCTTTATTTTTTATACTGTACCACAGATATGAATGCCAACCACAATTACATATATTTATCTGTGTGTCTGTATATATATATGTATATATATATACTGAACTGATTTTTCACAAATAAATCATTACTCTTTTCCAAAGTTACTTTTATCATGAGAATTTTTAGAAACTACTAATCTATAAAAACTTAGTGTAGTGATTACAGAAGGTTTGTGAAGGATAAAAATAACAGTTTTTGCCTGCAATGTACATATATTTATACTATACAAAGATGTTAATCTTGGCAGTTGACTGAGAAAAGAGGTGTCCCCCAAATTTATATATACTCATCACCTTATTTGCAAAGACAAAAGAGACAACAGCATTTCTTTAGTTGCTGAGCTAAAAATCAGCATCCACGATAATAAGAACATGGCAGGTGAGGAGGGGACAGTAGGAATATTAACTGACCCCTAGATGAGAGAACTCTAAGACCTTAGACAGAGTAACCATAGGATGATACTGTTGCCCCAGAGTATTTCAGCTCTTTTTAAAATAAATGATAGCGAAGTCTGATATCTAAACAAGTCTTTAGATTAAATTCTTTTATTGCCTTTTGTTTTTTTTTGTTTGGAGCCACACATAACAGTGCACAGGGGCTATTCCCTGCTTTGGTATTAGGAGGCGGGTGTCATTCCAACTTGTGCCAGGGATCAAACCAGGCCTCCAGTATATAAGGCATGTGCTGAAGTCCTTTGAACTACCTTCCTGGGCCCTGAAATTACTATTTTTTAAATAAATATATTCCTTGTATGGAACAAAAAGAATTAATCTCTCAATTCAGTCATCTGACAATTCTGAATCCTTACTCCACATAAGGATGGATAGTCTTCCTGCCCCCAAAGGGTTTACTAGCAACAGTAGACAGAAGACATAATGGTAGATGATAAGCTTCTCTTCATGATAATATGCCTCTGCAACACACACACAAACATACACATACACTCCAAACTTCTCTGTCTCCCACAAAAGCATCACTTATAGTAATTCCACAGTAATTCTCTTTTAAAATGTTAACTGGTTTGAACTAGTCATTTTATTGGATAGAATGGGGAATCATCAGACCAGACCACTCTGCTTCATAGCTTCATACTATCATTTTGTCACTTGCCTCTTGAGAGAATAAGGCTTGGAACTCCTTGTGCTGTGTGTGTGTGTGTGCATGTGTGTGTGAGTGTTCACTTCAGTAACATATAACTTTCCTTTAGATGTTAATTTAAACTTAATTCAAAAGTCAGTTTCTGCTGCTTAGTTTGTATTGATTTTCTTTCCATTCTAAACAGAAAAGACTGCACAAATCTGAAAACATGTAAATGATGCTTTTGAAAGGATTCTAAATATTTCACATTACAAACACATTTAGAAAACTAAAACTGGGGCTGGAGTAATAGCACAGCGGGTAGGGTATTTGCCTTGCACGTGACTGATCCAGGTTCGATTCCTAGCATCCCATATGGTCCCCTGAGCACCGCCAGGGGTAATTCCTGAGTGCAGAGCCAGGAGTAACCCCTGTGCATCGCCGGGTGTGACCCCAAAAAGAAAAAAAAAAGAAAACTAAAGCATAAAACTAATAACCCTTACAACAGAAACCACCCTGTATGTTTAAAATATAACATACATACATACCTACATGCATACACATACTATGTATGCATGTACATAGTTAAGCTAGTTAAGGTGGGCCAAAAAAGTAAATATAGTTCATCATCTACATTTTTTTATATTTTAACTAAAAAGGCTGAAAGTAACTTGGGAACAAGTTGGCTATATTATAAATAACATAGATCATGATATTATATGTCAATGTCAACCTTGTATTGGCAACAAAGTAAAAAAATTAATAAATATTGCTACAAGCAAGGATAACATTATTTAAAAAAAATATTCCACAAGGCAACACCCTAATTATATGGCAGTCTTTTCTGATTAAAGGAAATGGAACAGAACTTTTACATCTGATTAGGCATAACATGTGAAACTGAAATTTCCTCATAATCTTTCCCTATTACAAGATTAAGTACATCAAATGTAATATTATTCTCCCAAAGAAAAGACTTTCTCAATATTTCTTTCCATTCAGATCTTCACTCAGACATCTAAATGAAAAAGTCATAATAGCTTTATTAGGTGCACGGAGAAGTCTGAGTAACTATTACTCTGTTTGTAAATCTATTATTCTGTTTGTAAATCACCATCCTTCACTCCTTTCCTCTTTCTTTACATATGTAAATTATGCTGTCAAATGCAGAATCCACACCAGCCACCACAATCAAATTATCCTCCAGGGACATCAATCTGGCTTGTTATTCTTGTTTCAGCATTTCAAAGAAAGGGGGGAGGGAAGGGAAATCAGAGAAGGAGTAGCTATTTTCAAGAATCAGAATTCCTCTTGATTAGATTTCTGGCTCACTGGTAAAATGTTTATGCTTTGAAATGTTTATACTTTGAGACGAATTACTTTGCTTCTAAATGTTGGGCTTCTTTTTTTAAACGAAGATATGGTACAGTGTTTACAACATAAATTGCTTCAAGTAATATATGCATACTATTGCAGGACGCATTTGACCAAATTCTAATATTGCCTCTTGGGAGACACCACCAACTTCCACCAGCAGTGCAGAATAGATTTTTAAACAATGCACACAGAGCCATATCATCCATGACATAGCCCCTTTTTCTCCTACTCTCAGGGTTGTCACATGAGACATGCTGCGTTATGCTCATCACTTAGAATATGGATCTTTCAGTTAAAGCAATAAGGTATCACAAACATACAAAGTACAGTCTCCATTTTCTCAGCATGAAAAGAAAAAGCCAGTGTGCTTTCTACCGAAGTTGATCTGAAGCTGAATGATATTGCTTCAGCTTGTGAATCATTGCACAATTATACAAATTAATAAGAATAAACAGCATACACCCATTTCTTTAGGCTGCAACTGTGAGTTAAGAACACACAACTGATAGGAATCCTAATACCCAAAGGGGACTATTCATAGGCCTTATGTTTTCTTGATTGTCATAAGAGTTTTTGTTCCTTGGCCACCGAAAACTTGACAGAGGACCCTCCCATTTTTTCTTTCATTAAAGTGTACATGATTTTCATCCAAACCCTATACAGGCTAAGGTGAAAGAAGACATACTGTGAAATGGTTGATATTGTCCAATTGCAATAGGTTCAAAATACAAATGTCAAAGATATACATTTGTCACCTGTCAGCCCAGGCTGAAGGCATCCACCAAGAGAATCTTTTCACTATGCAGCTGGCAGCAAGGATCTAGCTCCACAGACCTGCATGCTGATGAGAGCTTAGGCTCCCAGTACAGCTCTCCTCTTAACCACGTCTTTCCTCTGCAAAGCAGAGAAGCCATTTTACTAATTTATAAGTACCCTGACGACCCAGTCATCTGAAAAAATTTACTCATCAATAGCAGTCAACTAAAAAGCAAAAGTGCATCCCACAGGAATCAGAGAATAAAACAGGCCACACCAGCAAGTATCGATTGGTAAGACTGATACTCACTAAAGGCAGCTACCGCCAGGGCCAGTGTGACAATAATGGAGAACCAGGAGACCCACAACGCCTTCTTTCTGTAGTTCTGTGCTTCGTGGGGTTTTAGTCGAGTGCTGCTTTCTAGTAAGCCTAACCAAAAAAAATAAATAAATAAAACAAAAAATAAGAACAAGGAGAGAAGGAAGTTAGACATTTCCTTATTCAAAAACCCACAATCAGAACAACACACCCTTGCCCAAGGACTGCAAACAGAAAACCAGTGTGCCAAGGTGGGCTTTGCTTGCCCCACACTGTGTGTTAACAAAGAAATCGAGCTTTGGTGCATCTCTTTTAAAGAGTTCTAGACTCTGGGAACATGGGCTATGAGTCTGTGCAGGGACTCAGCAGCTGACAGCTTTAGGAGACCTGCAAACCCCACTGTTCTTTGACCTGATGCATAACCTGGGCCATCTCTTTTCCTGTGTCAACTATGGTTCACATAGGTGCTGACCTTCCATGAAGGCTCTCAGTCAAGAAAGTAGCATTAATTGCTCACATTTAACTGAGGCATTGATTTGCATTGATCCACCAGCATGGCCCCAAAAGGTGGTTTTGCCCAAAGCAAGAAGTAAGGAATATCAAAGATCCTCCTATCTTTTATCCCCTAGAAGGAGAAAAACTATTTTTTCCTTAAGCATAGTGAACATTAATCACTGGGACCTAAATTATACACCAAGTTTTCTTCCCTCCTCTTCCTATAGTATGTATCCATTTGTATCAAACACACTTCAAAAATCTTTCAGAACATTAAAAGTGGAGTAAATCTGCTGAAAGTGGAGGTGGCCTCTTTGGGTAAGCCAGGTGCAAAAAGTTTGATTATTTTTGTCTCCCAGGCTTTCAACATTGAGTCCTTGGCAAGAGACCAAGGAGATAGTTCGGGCATAAGGCATCTGCCTTGCATGTAGCTGATCAAGATTTGATCATCAGCATTGCTCTGGTCCCCTGAGCCTCAGCAGAACTGATCCCTGAGCACAGAGCCAGGAGTAAGCCCTGAGAACTGACACATGTAATCCCAAAACAAACAAACAAACAAAATAGGAGTCCTGGACAACAACAGAAAGGTATGATGACTCAGAGTCAAGAACCAAGTTTTAGGAGCCTGGGTTCAAGAACCAGAACACCTTCATTCTGTTCCTGATTTATACTTCTTATTTTCTTACATTCACTAAATACTTCTCTAGTTGCAAAAAGAAAAATCATCTGTGGAATCTCTTAGCTGCATGAAGAATGGAGTTTTCAGTTGTTCATTCCACAACAGGAGCTGTAGACTATCTCTGGCTCCTAAATCCACAATATACTTTGCAGAGGGGAGCGGCTTCCTCACAGTAGCCTCAACTGACAGGGTTGGCAGTTAGAGATCAGACACAGACTTGTAAAATATTGCAAAGAGTGTGACATGCCACACCTCACACCCTGTGAAAGCATCTTTCTATCTGAATGACTCTAGCAGCAACACTCTAAGTCTGGCTGTTGAAAACTGTATCTGGTTCCAAGTGTGAATATGTTTAACGCTATTAAAATGCTGTTGCTCCACTCAACCACCCTGACTGAAGCACCCCAAAACATGTCCTGAAGGAAGGAGGAAGAAATATCCAGAAAACTGCTTAGTGAGCTAAGTTTATAGCCCAGAGATTTCTAAGTAAGCCAAACCTGTAGGTTAATAAAAAATCAAAAGGTAGGTGCCAATGCAAGGAGGAATGAAGAACATTTCCACCAACTTGCTATAAAATTGCCTCCAAACCTTCCTTAGCAAAAGCTCTTAGATACAAAACTGAAGAAAAACAGAAACCTCTCTTGTCAAATTCTGTCTTGGGTACAAGTCATCTCAAATTAAAGGTCCTTTGTCCATTTCTCTCCTAGATGCTGACAAACATACCATTCTAATGTTCACCCTAGCCAACAGTCACACTTGTACCCAGTTAAAGCCACAGCCTAGAGTGGGCAGGTCCCAAATATTATCAATAATTTTGTTCTCTTTTCTCAGATGATATAAAAATTTTCCTTTTATTCTGGCCAGTTGATTTTCAGAAGGGAATCTCTCACATTAAAGTGCTGACTCAAATAAGAGTTCATTTGTTGGATATTTTGACAGCAACAATCTCGAGAGGCTTGTCTACTGGGGGCAAAAAACAAGGTTCCTTTTAGAGTAAGATTTCATTTTCTGAGAGAAGAGACGACTGTCCGAGTTTTCTATTCTGCCACAAGATCTTATTTTTCCTTCAAAAGCCAGCAGTTGCCAGCAAAGGAGCTGGTCCTGACCACACACCCCAATCTACACTCTCCCCTGTAGTGCTCCCAGTAAGGGGCTTTGGTGACACCCTGACTGGGCTGTAGCATCTGCAAGGGGAAGGTCCTCTCCAAGCAGAACTGGAGATTCCTCTTCACATCTGGTGTCTGTATATGAAAAGGAGTAACCCCAATGGAAGACTGTACAGGGAGGAAGGAACTTTCCCATTTCCTCCCAACTTTTGTTACTATTTTTCTCCCCTCACAAGCTAGCCAGCAGCAAGGATGGAAAACCAACCACTTCTCAAAAGGAAGTGGACTATGATGACCTCCCAAGACCCAGTTCACAGGTGCACTCAGAGGCCTCTGCCTCTACCCCATGACGGCCCCTCACACACTCACAAGCTCTGGAAAGTGGGTGACAATTCTTAAAGCATACATGAAGGTATTCTTGAAAGAAGGGAGCAGAGCCTAGAGAAGTTGAGGCAGGTCTCAGCTTTGTACCCAGAGCTGTCTCCTTCCTATCTGCAACTGGCTTCCATATTCAAATTTTTAATCTCTCTCAGGTGTCACATGTCATCACAATCAGGAGGGACTGGGTGTGATGACATGTAGGGAGTTTGAAACCACTGGTCACTTCCAAGTAAGCATGAACTGCTTTTTCCTAAGAGGCACTCAAAGACCCTGGCGGGGTGGGGGAGGGGAGAGGGGAGAAGTACTTATTAGCAGGAAGTGGGAAATGCTGAAACAAATAATATTCTAATTTTGGGCTGGACCCTGAGGCTCAGGGAAGAATGATGGGGAAAGTGTTGTAAGAAGAAAAGCGGATATTAATTGGAAGGAGGTAGAAACAGTCTGTATTTATGTTGAGTCTCGAAATATCTTGGTCCACACGGTTCTGGCTTACTGAAGTCTCAGCCAAATGGCACTGCAGTTACTGCCGTTATGAACCAGGTAGGTTTCTGGAAATCAGCCCACATTACTTCTAAGGGGGGCAGAATATCTACCTCCAAAGTCCTCAAACACACCTTTGATCAGAGTTAGACGTGCTCTTTTTTAATCCTGGTAGCTCAGAAGAATAAGACAAGAAAGAGAAGGCCAAGCAGGAGCACCGTGCATATCCAGGCAACCTCCCCCCGACATACACACCCCCTATAGGTATTTAGGCCTCCGAGGAAGTGAGCCAGGAACTGTGTACAGATTTGCCACGCTGGGTTTACTCCTTCCCTAATCCCCTCACCATTAGGGAAAAGGTAGCAGCAATCGAACCACCCCCAAGGGATTGAAAAATCAATGCTGGACAGATGCAGCCCCTTAGAAAAAAAAATAACGCAGACACAGAATATTCTAATAAGCCTCCCCAGGTAGCCTGCTGATGTATTTAATAAAAATGACTGATTCATCATTAACTCTTTGCTTCCGGGAGTAGGTCAGACAAAGGAATGTCATACTGACTTTCAGCTTTCTCTCCATGCCACACGGGACAGGGCGCTTCGGTGGCCAGGGTTTGTCCTCACAGAGAGGCTGTGTGTGGTAGCAAAGCTTCCTCACAGTGACAGTTCATGAACAGTGGCTGCTTTCAAGCTAGCATACAAGGGAAAATGAAATCCCGTTGACCAGTGAAAAACAATCTAAAGAATGAATCCAGAAGGGCTCTTTACACTTGACCATGAGCTCCAAATCAATGCTTTCTTTCCTCCTGCCATTTGGTGGGGAGAAATGGGACGCCTTGTGCAAATGGCCCGCAGTGCTGGAAGGGGAGGGGACCGGAGAAAAGAGATCTGCCCAGAGATCTTTGCTCCAAACAAAAATGTTCAGTCCTACCATGTTAATTGCAGAAGGGGCCGACAACATAGACGGGTTTGGCTGGGCGCTTGTCTGCAGGCATCAGCTCTAAAATGATCGCTACGAATGGGAGAGGAGAAATTGTAACCGAGGTACAGAACTCGTTGCCCCTGGAGCGGCTCCAGGTCTCGCCAAGGATTCCTGGTGATTCTGAAAATTGTCCTTTCGTTCTATTTCATATACTACAGTTTAAATTTTCCAAGGGGAATGACATCGTGCATCCGAACACTAAACCGGAATTTTTTAAAAAAAAATGCACAGGAGAGACTAAGAATAGGACAAAAACCTGCTAAGACTAAAATATATAAATCCGCCACAGCCAACAAAATAAGGCGTCCAAGAAAAGGGGGTGGGGTGGCGAAGAGCCGGTTCCGTTGGCTGGAAAGCCTGGTTGCAGGGAGCCCGCTTTGGCCACTAAGAGATTTTAGCAAGACCGTTCAGTCTTTGGGGACGGGGGAGGTGGGGGGACTGGAGGAATGGTACAGAGATTTGGATTCAGCGGGATGCAGAAAAGGCATTAGGTGTGGCCAAGAAAGGGGCTCCCTTCAGGCCGAGAGGAAATGAGGGAGGGGAAGCGGAATGTCGGAGGAGAAAGAAGGGAATGAAAAGAGGTGACTCCCGCGTTTCATGCAGACAACTCAACGGGGGAACGGGCTCTGATTGCAGGTGGGATGTGGCTTCCCTGCAAAGATTCTCCCGTGTGCGTGTGTGTGTGTGTGTGTGTGTGTGTGTGTGTGTGTGTGTGTGTGTGTGTGTGTTGGGGAAGGGGAGGAGGACCCTGGTCAGTGTCTGGGAAGGGATTCTGCAGAGGATGGGGACGTGCGCTCCTGGGACCCCCAGGTGTCCGTGATGTCCGTCCCCATGAGGAATTAATTCCAAACGCCCCGTCGCCGGAGAGCGGGGTCGGTGACCCACGGGGCCCGCTGGTCCCCTGTTAAGTCACGTCGAGGGGCCGCCGGGTTTCCCTCCTTCTCCCTACGCCCGGCGGGAAGCCAACCCGGCGGGGCGAAGTTCTCCTGGGGGAGCCGGCGGGGGGTCGCAAAAAACGCGGAGCGGAGCAAGTGTCGAGCTCCGTTCGGGTCTGCGGCGCCGAGCAGGGTCCGCAGTGTCCCCGCCGAAGCGCTGGGTTTCGAGAGCAAATACGAAAGACACACACACACACACACACACACAAGCAAGGGCAGAAACACCGCCTCCTGCAAACTTTTTTTGCAGCGGGCGCGGCGGGCCCAGGCCGGGTAGGTCCGGGACGCCCAAACGTGTCTCCGATCCCCGGGGATGGGAGCGGGAGCCGGAGCGGGAAGGAAGCCTCGGCGGGCGGCAGGGGCGGCCGCTCCCCGAGCCTGGGCGGACACGTCCCGGCGCCGCGCGCCCCCCGCGCCCCCCGCGCCCCCCGCGCCCCGCGAGCCGGGCTCACCACCCGCGATCGCGCCCGCCCGGCCCGGGCCCCGACGCGCGCTCACCTCGGTCCTCCAGCCCGTCGCCGAACTGGCCGCTCTCGCTGATGCGCATCTGCCGTTCGTCGTCGGACTGCGGCGGCTCCCGCGCGGGGGTCCCCAGAGGGCCCGGCGCGGCGGCCAAGGGTGGGGGGCCCCGGGGCGGCGGCGGCGGCGGCGGGACGGCGGGGCCCGGGGCGCTGCGGCGCTCGCTGCCCGCGGCCGGCTCCATGGCGCGGGGCGCGGGGTGGCGGCGGCGGGGACGCGAGGGCGATGCGCGGGGCGCCGCGGCTGGGAGCCGGCAGGGGGACACGGAGCGCGCGGCCGAGCGGGGGTGCGGGGGGCGGGGGCCGGGGTGGGGCCGCGGCGCGGGGCGGAGGGAAGCGGGGCCGCGCGGGGTTCGCCGCGCTCCGCCCCCCGGGGCAGGTGCGCTCGCCCGGGACCCGCCCCGAGGTCCCCGCGCCGTGGCCCGCGTACCCGGGCCCCGCCGGACTCTCGGTGGGGGTGACAGTCCCCGGGGGCGGAGAGACCCGCGGCGGCGGCTGGAGTCCAGGCCGGGGCCAGGGGTGCGGGAGGAACCCGCTCGGGCCGCGGTGCGGCACCTCCAGAACCGATTTCTCTGCCGTCCGGGAACCCGCGGCCGCGAGGAGCCGCGGGCGCGCACGGGCTGCGCCCGGATTCGGTTCCTTTCCTCGCTAGAGCGGTGCAAGCTGCAGACGCCGGGGAGGGTCTGGTCTCCCCCTGGTCTGCAGTCTCTGCAGCTCATGTGGGCTCTGACCTCCGGCTTCCTTCTCTCCAGCATCCCCTTACTCACAGGGGCCAGGCGTTGGAGACCCGCGAGCGTGGCCGAGATGTGGACCCCAAGATCCCCCCACTGCGACTTTCCCTGGGCCTTCGTCCCGTTCAGTCCTCTCACTTACTCGCCCTTTCCCCCCACCCCCTGAGTCGAGCCCCCATCCTAGGAGAAGCCTACCCCCTCCCCGTCCCCTCCGGCGGGACCAATTCTTCCTGAACGCCCCCCAAATCCGACCGCGGCTAACTCCGATGCCCTCACTGGTGCGGTCCCTGCAGCGGGGCAGCCAGCTGGTCCTCGCCGCCCGGGTCCTCGCTCCCAGAGGGACAGAGGACAACCGGCCGCTGAACGGATGCAGCTAGATGTTACCTGGAGTCCAGGTTTCATCTGAACTCTCCAAAATGCACCGCTTAAAACCTGCTCACTTTGACTGGGGGTGGGGGTGGGGGTGGGGGGCACCCTGGTTTTTGAAAAGTAAAGCGTGTCCTTTCTCATGCTCGCTTTGAGGATCGAAATTGCGGTAGAACGGAAGTGCCTTTGTGGTGCACTGGAACCATCACGAAAAATGGGAACGGGGACTCATTTTATATTTTATTATTGGAGGAAGAGACGTCTGCGTGGACCTTGGACAACACGCTTTACCTGCTTGATAACTAATAATTTAATTACAAACTGAGTTGGGCTAGGGCATTTCAAAGGTCCCCTCTTGCTGGAAAGAAATACAGGGGTGAAAAAAGTTATAATAATTTAGAATAAAAACCGTAAAAACTTCAGGTATTCGTTTGGGTTCCATCCTCACTAACAGGTTCATCCGCCCCACCTCCAGACTATTCTGATTTTGATTTCTTCTTGCCAATGGCTCTCAAATATTAGAATCGCCTGGGAAATTTGAGAACAAAGATATCCAATTTCAGGCGCTGCCGAAGATTCTTTTATCCTAGGCGATGAAATGGGTCTAGTCTGAGACTTTGGCATCATTTTTCAAATGAATGTAAGATTATATGGGAAGAGTTGTGCATTTTTATTTAAGTAAATGTTGATGCCTTGTCACTTCAAGATTCTGACAGGGTCTAGCTGAGAATTTTCATTTGAATACACTAACGTCACACACACACACACACACAGAGAGAGAGAGAGAGAGAGAGAGAGAGAGAGAGAGAGAGAGAGAGGTGAGGAGAGGGGAGGGGAGGGGAGTCTGTGTGTTCTCTCAAAGGAGCAAGAATAATTTTTCTTTCCTCCAGTTTCTCAATTGACTCACTAGTCCAGCACATCTCAAATGTGAATGTGCAAATGAACACCCAGGATTCCTGTTGAAAATCTGGGGTAGAGGTTGAAATTTCAAGCAAGTCTCCAGGTGCTGCTGACACTGCTGGTCTGAAGACCACGCTTTGAGAAGTAAGGATCTAGGGGTTATTCATTATTCATGGGATAAATATATTTTCCTTCAAGTCCCAGCTGCCCTGGTTCAATAAGTCATTTTTGTCTCCTGCAGAAAGATTTCTCTGGCCCCAACTCCCCCAGGCATGCTTTGTGTGAACTCTATTTAATAATTCACTGTTTATTTCATGTGTGAGACTGAGATTATGGTGCCTGCCGGCAACCCCTTCTGAGTCACCCACATCCACCTGGAAGCCAAACAATCGTTGCTGATGATATTAGTTTACCGCTCTTGAAGGCCATACAGCGTATCAAGCACCTTATAAAAGGTTTCTCATGCATTGTCTCTGTCACTCAACTATTATCCTCCTTTTCCCAAGGAAGAAATAGCGGGAAATGAATGTCTTATGCGCCAACACCACAACCCAAACCCACAGAAGTCTGCCCCCTAGGGGTATTTTGTAAATTTGCAGATGCTCTAGTTGGAGAAGTGCAGCTTAGTGAAGGGAGACTGAGGGGCAGGCAGGCTGTTACATGCAGGACTTTGCCACACAACAAAGATGGTCTGTGTCCCACGTAGCTTTCGTATGCCCCACCGGACATTTGAGGCTGTGAAAAATGTTCATACAAATACACAAGAATCTTAATTCTACTTTACCAATAGGTATCACTGTATCACTGTCATCCCATTGGTCGTTGAATTACTCGAACAGGCACCAGTAACGTCTCTATTCCTCCCTGCCCTGAGATTTTGGCAGCCTCTTCTTATTCATCTTTCCCCAACGATTGGAGGCTATTTCAGGGTCAGGGGAATGAGACCTATTGTTGTTACTGTATTTGGCATATCAAATACGCCACGGAGAGCTTGCCAGGCTCTGCCCATGCCTCCGGTATACTCTTGGTAGCTTGCCGGGCTCTCCGAGAGGCATAAATGGGTAGGAAGTGTCTTATAATGTGTCACACTGCTGCAAAGTCCTTACCAATAGGTACAAAACATTTTTATACCACACTTAATTTTCTGCTAGTGCAAGCAACGTATAGGTTTAGGGAAGATTTTTACTATGTTTATTGTTTTGAAGAATCATGACACTGAAGCCAATTCCACTCATAGCCTCTGAGTCAGCATCTGTGACTGCCGCATTGTAACTCCCACAGACCAAGTCATTTCATACCTGTATACTATTTAGCTCCTTTTTCAAAATGTCTAAATTTTCTAGATGTGTCAATAAAATTCCAGAGTCCTGTCTTACTACTCTTCAATTCCAAGTAAGTTCACATATCTTATTCCTTCCCATGGTTGAAGGTGTAGTTCTGATTGAACACATAAAAGTAAACGTATAACAAATATTTTTTACTTTACTTTTGCTACTACTTCGTTATAACTAGGCAATTATAGTGAATCTTAAGCTACATGTGTGATTACTATTTGAATTCCATTTTGTGATCACATTAGTGAATAACAAACCCAGTGATTGTCATAAAGAGAGACTAAGAAAGCATAGGGCTGGAGCGATAGCACAGCAGGTAGGGCGTTCGCCTTACAAGCGGCCAACAAGGCCGACCCGAGTTCGATTCCTCCGCCCCTCTCGGAGAGCCTGGCAAGCTACCGAGAGTATTCGATATGCCAGACACAGTACAAAGTCTCCAATGGAGACGTTACTGGGCCCGCTCGAGCAAATCGACGATCAACGGGAAGGCCTTTACCTTTTACCTTTACCTAAGAAAGCATAACAGCTGATTGTAATACGGTTTCCTGGGTGTGATCCTGGAACAGGACATTAGATGTCCTTAAAAATAGTTATCTCAGGGGCAGAGGAGGAAAAAAATAGTTACCTGAATAAAGTAGTGACATTATTAATAATGTGTCAATTCTGTCATTAATTATAAACAAACATATTCATGTAAGATGTCAATAGTATAGGAAACAGGGAGCAGGGTATATAAGAAATCTCCACACCATTGTCAATTTTTCTTCAAATCTGAAAATACTATAAAAATTAAAGTCTAGCTTTCAAAAAAAGTAAAATAAAGGAATGTGGGGTGCAAGGTATTGGGAAAGCTTGAGAGGTAGACATGTTAACCATGAACTTTGAATGCCCAATTCAAACAGTGACCACAGAAAGAAAAAAAGCACATAAGATAACTCAGAGATTTTACCAGGACTGCAATACTCATCAAGAGTGACTATGGGGGAGATGCATGTTGAAAGTAGACTATGGACTGAACATGTTTGCCACTCAAAGCCTATTTTGCAGACCACAACACCCAAAAGGAGAGAGAGAACACAGGGGATTGCCCTGCCACAGAGGCAGGGTGGGATGGGAGGGATGGGGGTGGGAGGGATATTATCCATGGTGGTGGAAAATGGGCACTGGTGGAGGGATGGGTATCTGATCATTGTATAGTCGAGACCCAAGCACAAAAAATTGTAAATCTACAACTGTACCTCATGGTGTTTCACTAAAAATAATTTTTAAAAAAAGAAATAATTTTCAAATAAGCTGAAAAAAAAAGAGTGACTATGACCAGAATCAAACTAACACTCATAAATTTAAACCTAGTCTACAGGTTTTCATTGGGACCTTTAAAATTCTATTTTAAAATTTCATAAGCAGTACGAATTTTTGTGAGATCTGATATTTTAAATCACTGACTTTCCATTAGTACATTTCAGAAATTCACTATGTGTGGCACAATGACACATGAACAAATAGTCTGATTTTTGTTAGATAATAAGATGAATAGAGGTTTTTTTTTCTTACCTAAACCTTTTCACATTTTCAGCAAAGTCCTTCAGATCCTTAGCCCAGGAATTAAGAAAAAAAAACTTAAGAAGGTGAGAGCAACAAAACACTAATAAGATCCTTGTTGGAGTAAGAGAGTGGAAGCGTGTAAGGTTCTGGGTGAGAATCCACCTTAGTCCTTGGTATCCTCCCAACCATAAACATAAAACAGTTGTTAGCCATAGCTTAAAGATAAGGAAAGTCTGCTAAATAGCATTTCTAATGATTTAATAAACATTTCTCTGGTTGGGGGAGGTTATTTTGAAGGGCCAGACCCGGTGATACTCAGGGGTTACTCCTGGCTCTGCACTCAGGAATTATTCCTGGTGGTGAGCATGGGACCATATGGGATACCAGGGAACGAATACAGGTCGGGCCAC